ACACACACACACACACACACACACACACACACACACACACACACACACACACACACACACACACGCACACGCACGCACACACACACGCACCCACACACGCACGCACGCACGCACGCACGCACGCACGCACATACAGGTCGTTCGTCTCGAGTTGGCAAACGGAATCCCGCGATCGGATTCGCGCGCGCGCGCGCGCCTCTTCGTCTGCCAATGTCGTCGTATCACCACCTCCGCTGTTGCTACTACCACTTGCCAACTATCGGCACTTCTACCGGATATCGGATCAACGGAATTCGCATAAGCGAAAATTTCGGAACGTCAGAGTAGTTGGTTCGTGATTCGAAAACGATACAAGAGAGTCAGAGACTGGTTCGCGATGGGGAAGAGAAGAACAAAGAGCCGCAATGCGGCGACAGGAGAAAAGAAAAAACCGGCTCCGGGAAAAACGTAACGAATAAATGTACATAGAGAGATAGACGGTAAGAAAATGGTGACACGCAGTGGCTGGAACGAGGCCAAAATGTGTTCGGTGACCGCGTGACAGAGGCATTCCTCGATCCGTCGTCTTAGATCTAGCCGTAAATCAGAATCGAGGAAAACGGGTGGACGTCGCGCGACGATCGTTGTAGCCGATTGCTCGTTTGAACGAATCTTTGTTGGACATTTACAGCGGACCGGTGAGTCATCAACTCTCCGCGACCGCCTTGCTGGGTAGCCCGGACGGATCGCGACATCCACTGGACGTGTGCGAGTTCACCGAAGAAGACTATCGGCATCAGAATTCCAACGGAAACGGCCATTACCAGAACGGCAGGTCCGGATCTGGATTGTGGGAATGTTTGATAGGTTGCAGACGTCGCTTGGATCAGCACATGGCTCGAAGACGGGTAAAACCTATCCTCTATCGAGGTCTACCCTTTTCCCTGTCTTTTATTTTTCCTTTTCTGTCTTTTTCTGTTTTTTTCTGTCTTTTTCCATCGCGATTCGCGACCTCGACGGACACATCTCCACCCTCTCTGTATCCCTCCCGCCCGGCTGGCCGTTTCTCCGCTTCACGGTCATTGTCGAGAACGCGGCGATCAGCCTCGCGGGCCAAGTGCACGCAACGCGATGATCGCGAGTCACGCTAGCCGCGAGATCGATTTCGCTGCTCTCGCATGCACTGTCCACACCGCCGGCGTAGAGTACGCGCGCGACTACGTATTGGTTGTAGGAGAGAAAGACGGAGGGTGAATAGAAGACAGGAAGGAAACGGTTTCCGGTCGATTGGAAAAACGCGCTTAAACGCGGAGCGTATTAGCCGCGTTACGTCTACGCGTTAGCGCGTCGCTGTCTGAACGCTTCGCTCCCTCCGGTATCTCCGAGGTCGACCGTGCTATTTATGTTACACAGGATCGGCGGATCTTAAACCACCGGTGGTGGAAGTTCAAGGCCGAATCGATACGACCTTCTCCGTCGTCGCTTCGGCGTTGGGACGCGCGACGCGGTAAAACGCGCTTAATCGCCGTAGAAAGGCGTTAAATCGTATCGGTGAAACGAACGGGGGATTCCCTTTTCGATCGCCAGGGTTACCAAGTTCTTCAATCTCCTTCATACGTATACGTATACGTATTCTTTCCACCTGCGCGTTACCACCTTTCCGCGATTTCGCTTGTTTCAGGTGGAGCAAGGCTTGAAGCTGTATCGCGCTCACAAACAACAGGCTGCCGTTCGCAAATGGAGGGGCGCTTTGAAGAACATCAGGCAACGAGAAGATAAATTCGCTCTCCTCGGTTATCTGTATCAAGCCTATATGGATTGGGGAAAGTACAGGTACCCACCTTAAATCGTACATAGCGAAAGTCATCGCGATCGGTTTCATCCGTGTATATTCGTGTGTTTCGTGTGTTTCGCGTGTTTCGCGTGTCTTGCGTCGGGACGCGTGCGTTTTCTGTTACGAACGGGTAAAGAAAGGACTCGAACAACGACGATGGGGTTAGGATCGCCGAGAAGGTGGTGTAGGAGATGGTGGAGAGATGAATGGAAAGGAGGAAAGGAAAGTGGAAAACGAGTCGGTTTGTTTCGCCGAAAGGCACCGGTAGTCCGGGCTGTTCAACCCACTTCACCGTTATGGAGAGGCACTGTCGGCCTCGTCGTAGCTTAAACTACGAACCAGGAAGAGAAAAGAGCTTAATAGAGAGAGATCGTAACCGAGAGATAGTATTTAGTCGGTGAGGCGCGCGACACGCGGAAGGAGACACTCGAAGATCCTTGACACGGTAACGAAGCTTTTTTCGTTTCGTCTCTGCTTGAAAGCGAGAGGAGAAAAGCGCGAAGCGAGACGAACAATAGCGACAAGACGCGAAAAGTAAAGCCCGTTGTCGCACCTAGGCTAGCATTCGACGCTATTTTCCGTTTTCCGTTTTCCGTTTTCCATTTTCCCCTTACCCTCCAGCTTTTCCTCCATCGCTGAAACTCTCTCGATTTTTTCATCCAACTTGTCCTCGCTTTCGTTAGAACGGCCAGAATACACAGGTAACCGAGAACCAACGGAAAACGTAACGAGTCGGAGAAATCGCGATATCCTTTTCCAGAGATAGCATCGATTTCGGACACAAACAGCTGTGCATATCCGAAGAGTTGGATTCGCCGAACATGCGGGCAGAGGCATATTTGAATCTGGCGAGGGCGCATGAAAGGTTGGGCGCACTCGATAGAGCCCTGGATTATGCGAGACACAGGTATCTATCACCCTCTCGGTAGGTAGATTGATACGACGATACGAGGTACGATAGCCTCGTATCGTTTATACATTTACGCGTAAACGATACCACGAACGATGGTACGCTCGTCTACGATGATGCGATCTACTGCTCCATTCCGATCTCTTTCAATTTTCGAGCGTTCGTCGTGCGTCATCGATCGATTCCGATTCCCCGCGATAATGCGAACAATATTCCTTTCTTCCTTTTTGCCTCGCAGCTTGTACAATGAATGCGATCAATGTGCGACTGCTGGATTGGTTCATCTGACCGTAGGCAGAGTCCACTTGGAATTAGCAGGATTTTGCAAAGCTTTGGAAGCTTTTCAGAGAGCTCATAAAATTGCTCATTCGATTCAAGACCCGTCGTTGGAATTGCAGGTAAGCGATTAGAGATTCGATGATACTTATTACTCGACGCGTAACGCGTATTCTCGTGTGTATCGTTGGTTGGCGAGTGTGCGTGCGTGCGTGTGTGCCTCGTATCTATCGATTCGCAGGTATACGTGGGTTTGTCGGAGCTATTCTGCAGATTACATGACGCCGATAAGAGCGCTAGGTACGCGGCAAGAGCGTACGACCTCTCGAGAAGTTTGCAGTTGGGCGACTTAAACTCCCGTCATCATAGAGCGGCCCTTCTTCAAATGGCGGCGGCGCTCCGGAAAAAGGGAGAACTCGGTGACGCCCACGATTATTGTTCGGTAGGAGGCAGTCATTTTCTTCCCTCGATCCTCTCCTTGTCTCTCTGTCCCTCTATCTCTCGCGTAAACCATTTTCATATTTTGATCGGAATCGCTCCGCAGGAGGCGACACGGCTGTCGCTCGTTTCCGGAGATCAAGCTAGTTACGCCAGGAGCATACGAATAATGGGAGATATTTATAGGAAAAAGTCCGACATAAACGTAAGTATGAGAAACGCGTGAAAAACGGACGAGATCAGATGGAAACGGTGGAAAAATCACGCATTGTTACGTGTCTGGAATCGGTCGTAGAAAGCGTTTCGACAGTACGAGAGCGCGATGGGGTCCGCGGCAGCGACCGGAGATCGTCTTTGTCAAATGGAAGCTATGGACGGTGCCGCGAGATGTCTCGAGGCCCTTCGACTTCAACACAAGATATGCAATTGTCGTCCTCTCGAATTCAACACCAGGTTGCTCGAAGTAGCTGGATCGGTCGGTGCGAAGGTAAGACATCTTTCATCTTTTTTTCGCCTTCTCGTTTTACTACCCTTGACTGATCCCTCGATAACCTCCTCTCGTTTCTCCTATTCTTCCTCATGTTGTTCTTCCTTCGCGCGCTTGCTCTCTCTCTCTCTCTCTCTCTCTCTCTCTCTCTCTCTCTCTCTCTCTCTCTCCCACTCTTCTCTCTTTCTCTCTTTCCCCTTTCTCTGGAACGTAGTTCCTGGTACGAACCGTGAGATCGAGGCTCTCGCGAATTTACGGTTCTCTCGGAGACGAGGAACAGAAAGCTCATCACGAGAGATTAGCCACGGCGATGGAGGAAGATTTGGAGTTGCGATGCGGAGGCTGCAACGAGCCTTTCGGCCTCGATGCTGATTCCTTGGAAGCGCTGCCATGCTCTCACATACTGCATGCCAGGTGAAGAGAAATCAAAAATCCCCGCCCTTCCGGTGTTCGTTCGAACCACCGATATTAATTTACGCTACACCCGTGTGATTCGCAGGTGTGCATATGACATCTTGAAGAGACGCGACAAAAAGAAGAAACGTCTGTGTCCCGATTGTCACAAGTCCGTTAGTTCACGATTGTACCTGCATTGCGAAGATCCTCACGGCATGAATACTTTGAATCACAGTTCCTTGAGTCTGGCGTCGTTGAGAGCCAGCAGTTTAGCCACGTTGGACGACTGTCATGCCACTAGCAGCGTTTAAACCTGCCGCGGTATCCGTTCTATCTACGAGATTTAGTTTCCTTCGTGCTCGATGACACGCGCTCTTCGATACGACGTTCTTCGGCGATCACCGCTAACATTCTGCGCAAGCGTAAGCGCAAGCGCGAATGCAAGCGCGCCCCACTCCTTTGCTCCGAACCCGTTGCGATCATGGGCGTATATACACGTTACTACTCTATTGTAATTTTTAATTTTCTGGATATACGGGGAGGGTATCGAGCTTGCACAGTCTGCCAATTAAGCGATTAGATATTAACGTTCTTTGACGCGTGGATCATCGTTTAACGTTTAAATTAGGATGAAAAAATTTAAAAGATATTAGCACGATTCAAAAGAATTTAATGGCAATAAAAATGCACATTCAGTTCATTCGCCTTTTTCAATAATTCTTCCCTTCTTTATTAATTAATACCTAAAATACCCTATATATGATGCATATAATCGCGTTAATAAATGACAGCGTACACGCGTGGTCTATGTGCGTCTTAACTTTCTCTAATCGTACCACGTGCGTCGTGCTTTATTTATATCCCGTCGTGTTGTTGATTTAAATAAGAAAAACGTTTATCATCGGCACCTACGATGTAAATTTAAAAATGCGTCGATTATCGAAATGAAGGAAAGAAAATTTTCCAATACCTCAGAATTTAATGCCGGAACACGTAACCGAAACACGTAAACTGGCCATGCTTTTAAAGTTACTGCCAATCGAATCTGCGATCGAAAAGAAAAAGATCGATGCGATCTTTGAACCGAATTGAATCGAGTTTCGAGACGCGGAGTAGCAGGCCAAATATCCGACAGCTTTTCTACGAACGACGCGACATCTAGAATATGCTTGGGAATTTACACGATACAACCGCCATGACCAGGGTTGCCGGGCGAAATCTCGTTTTCCCCGTTCAAAACCCCACTCCAACCGTACGGCAAAGCGGGAGAATATACTGGGTTTTCCAATTGTATCGTACTCACTGACTTACCGAAGCAGGTAGAGACCCAAGAACCGGCAGATGGCTCGCCCAGGAAGACCCAGTACATTCTCCCGCTCCGCAGCACGGTTAGAGTGGGGCTTCGAACAGTCTACCCCCACTTCTCTGAACGGGGAAAACGGGATTTCGCCCAGCAACCCTGGCCATGACAGCTGATGCATTTCGTATCGCTTGACGTTTGGTTAGAACATGTCATTTTGGAGGATCATGTTGGAGGTATCTTTCGTTTTCGACTCTTTTTGAAAAGAGTGGTATATAACGCGATAAAACTATGAGATTCTACACGATTTTCACGAAGAATCGCGCCGTGATTTCAACGGAATACAAAGAATTAAAGTGTTCGTGTAATCCATCGATAACGAATAACATATTTATAGTATACGAATAGGCAACATTTTTTATCACATTTTCTATACCTCGCGTTCTTCATCTGTTCTTCCCTTTTATATATATTGTTTCTAAAATACGTAGTACGTATCATTACCTCTCCGAGTCGTTATGGAGGTATGTCACATAACCTCAACAATGTCTCGTTCCTTTCAAAGGTCATTAACACTGCTGTCTTCGTATTCATCGTTATTGCCCTAATTTTTCCTCCTCTACTTTGTTTCGTTATAGTTTTCCGTTGGATGATTTATATGCATATCGTTTCAGCAGAATTAACAGAACGATCGTCCAATAGTTTGCTACTATTCTCGAACATTTTTCGTATAGAAATTTTCCCTACTTCTCGCTCAAAAGAATTATTTTGCATCCGCAATGGCTTAGTAATAGTAAGTTGTTGCTTTAGTAATACTTCTCTTTTTATTTATCCTGTCTTCTTATAATTTACATACAGGATAGCAATTTAGTAGATGGTCTTGAGTGTCCTATCGAGGAAGATGATCTTGGAGAAGAGGAAGAATATGATGCTCTGAATGATGAAACTTTTGGTTCTGAAGCCAATATTGGTGATTGGGAGGAAAATCATGAAAAACTTGCCGAAATTACAGAATCCAATCGCTTTCACCATCAAAATACTTCAAGCAAAAAAGTAAATAAAGTTTCAAGCACCTTATACCTTTCTTATGAAAAGAATATGCCCAATAACAAACTAGCTAAGATACTTTGCTAACGATTATTCTTGCAGAATATATTCGATGCAGATATCGAAGATATCGAAGATATCTTATCCCATTTGGTATTAGATGAGAAAGAAGGTATCGTTCCACGCCCTGGAGTTTGGGATAGTCCTTCTAACTTATCCCTTCCTAAACCTCGACCGCCATTAACATTACCAACGACTATAAGAAATGTATGCACTGTTGAACAATTGGAAAAGGGATTAATTGGAAACAGGCCACCACTTGGACTGAATAAACCTGTTCAGATACAACAGCAGCAATCGCAACAGCAACAGCAGCCACAGCAGCAGCAACAACAACAACCACCACACTACCAACAACAGCAGCAGCAACAGCAACAGCAACAATTCAATGGATCACTTTTGTTTGGGTCTTTGCCTTCACCACCACGATTCCCATCAGGGTTGGGTATACCACCCCCACATCCTCTTGTTTTACCACCAAACATGAGATTTCCTCACCCTCAATTTTTACAACACCCTAGATTATTATACAGTAAGTAAATTTTGCGATAGACAAATTTAGACGATAGAAACTCTAGCAAATACGCACGTGCATACATATCTTTTTCTCATAACATCAATGATTTCGTTTTTATAGATCAAACTGGAAATGTACTGAGATACCCTATAGCACCGCATCTGATGTTACCACACACCACTCAAAGACCTCCAATTCATGGCTCATTTTGCAATAATTTTCCTGTAAGTTTCATCAATTACTTAACCATTCATTTTATGTGATGAGTGCTTTAAAAAAAGCTTTAAAAGAAATTTTATTAAAATGAATCATATTTTTACAGCAATCACCGCTTTCGAATTTATATCCTCCTCCATTTTTACGAGCAGATCATGGCATAATACCCCCTTTCTCTAGCAATCACTCTGGTCATCAACAGCAACAGCAACATTCTTTTTCACATTCTGGAAATCAAAGAAGTCAAAATAGAGATTTTCATCATGGGGAACAACAAACGAATCACCAACCATTTTTTAAAAATAGTCAGCATTATCGTAACCATGATCGAAATAATCAGCAACATTATTATTATCACTGTCAAGGAATAAATGGAATAACCGGTTTAGGAGAATATGATGAATACGCCGGTCTCATGAGTAATCGGGAGAAACATTGGTTAATTAATATTCAAGTACTGCAACTTAACACAAATGATCCGTATGTGGACGATTATTATTACACAGTTTTCTGCGATAGAAGAAACAAACAGCGTATAAATCAAGAACGAAAAGATAAACAACAACGCAACAACAACAACAACAATAATAATAATAATAGTAACAACAATAATAATAATAGTTGCCATCGAGATTCCAGGTGAATTGTTTCTCTCTCCCTCCTTCCCTCTCTCTCTCTCTCTCTCTCTCTCTCTCTCTCTCTCTCCCTCTCTCCCCCCTTTTTCTCCTGCCCCCCCCC